AAGCTATAAATATTCAAATAAAATAAACAAAAAAAAAATGAATTTTAATTTACTATTTTGCATCATTTGCGCCATATGTGGCATTAAATGTGGTGGAAATGTGCCAAATGGCATACCAAGTGATGGTGGTGGATATGAATATGGATTATAATTTGTTGTTGAATTATCATTTGGTGATTGAATATCTTTTTTTATTGATTCAGTTGTTTCATCAGTTGTATCTGTATTTATTGGTGTAACAATTTTAATTGATGTTTCATTTTGATTAGCAAGTAATTGATCAAGTTCATTTTGTGACATAACACGTTGTCCTTCAGGTTTTATCCATGTGGTTTGACGTGTTTTAGCATTATAATAATAAATCTATAGAAAATTTTTGAAATTTTTTTTTTGCTTAATTTGTATAAGAAAAAATGAAATCTACTTACACGACCATTAGGATTTTTACATTCAACCCATAATGTACTTAAATCAAGAGATGATGAATTTTCATTCATTTTTCTTTTTTTTTTTATTGTTGTTTAATAATCACATAGAATATATGTAGTTAGTTAGCTTTTGTTGTTTTGTTCGTGCAGTCGTTTTTTATTGGTGAAATTAAATGACCAATTATTGAATACAATGAATAAAATATGGATTGATTAATATTTAGAAAAAAAAAAGAATAGATAATTGTTCCTTTATTTATGTTGCGTGATCAATCACCATTTATTCAATGCCTTTTAGGTATATTTATGAATCAAATTTATTTTAGAAAGAACTATTGTTATTATTTTTTTCCAGGCACTGGATTTACATGGTTTGTTACAGCACTTGGTGCTTCTTTGGTATTTATATTTCATTCAAGCAACGTATGTTTAGATAACAATAATAAATTATTTTATTATTTAATAACGATTCTTTTTTTTTCGTTGTCTAGCAAAAATTACTTGATTATAGTCTTGGTTTTGGAGCTGGAGTATGTATATTTATTAATAAAGAAATGAGTGTAACTTTTTTTTTTTTTGAAATTTATTCTTAGGTAATGACTGCAGCATCATTTTGGAGTTTACTTGAACCAGCATTTAAAATAGCTTTTGAACAAAATTATATTAGTATTCAATTAAATTTTTTATTAATTATTATTGGTTTTTTACTTGGTGCTTTATTTGTTTATATGGCTGATTTATTATTACCATCAATAACATCAAAACAAGCATTTCAATATTTATCAAATAAAAAAAATAATGAAATAAAATTAAAAAAACATCAAGATAATATATCAAATTTAAAAACACATTCTATTGTACGTGAACGTTTAAAACATAGTCAAGATTTAACGAAACAAGCTGATCTTCCTAATGGTGATAATTCAATTGAAGAAATTAACGACATTGATAGAAAAACAGATGAACGAACAAAATGGCATCGATTACTTTTACTTATTATTGCTGTTACTGTACACAATTTCCCAGGTTAGAAAAGAAAAATATACATATATATTATTTAAAAAATTTTTGTTTGTAGAAGGTATGGCTGTTGGTGTTGGTTTTGGATCCATTCCATCGTCGAACAATGCAACATTGGCATTTAATCATGCAAGGTGAATAATATGAAAGTGATTTCATTTTTTTATGTTTTGTTTTGTTTTTTTTTTGCTTTTAGAAATTTAGCAATTGGTATTGGTATACAAAATTTTCCTGAAGGTAGAATCATAAAAAAAAATGAATGAATAGAAGAAAAAGAAAAAAATTATTTGAATTAAAAGTCTAAATCAATTTTGTAAAGGTCATTGAGATATTATAAAATTATCTTTGATTTGCGAAACAAATTGATTTTTATTTCTAATCATATAATCAGAGTTGATTCAATGTATATATCAAAATGCAATAGTCGGAGAAAAAAGTCAACGATGATTATAAACGAATGAATGTCTTAAACATTTGTCCTTCATTTTATTATTATTATTATTATTATTTTTTCTATTTCTCTTTTTCTTTTATAAATATAAATATTTATTATATTAACAAAAGTATTAGATGAATAATAAAGTAAATGCATTATATAGAAAAAAAATAAATTATGACTTATTATCAATGAATATCGACTAATACTTTTGTTATCATTTGAATTCTTTCCGCACACTAGGATATCTCAAGTTTGTCTATTTTTATATAATTTATCTTATTTCTTTACTGTTTTTCTTTTGTTCTTCGTCATAAAAACGAGGGTATTCTTCACAGTAATTGATGAAGAATAAGAAAGCAATTAGCGCATATTTACTTATGACAGAATAGTCACAGAAGAGAAAGATTAATAATAGAAAGTAGTCTTTGAATGATGCTGTCAATCTAATACTTCAAGTCATTAAATAGATTAAAGTATGTTTTTCAATATCAAAAATAATTGAATATGAATGAATTCCTGCAGCTGACTTATTGTTCTTGTAACATGTGAAATTATGTTATAAGAAGTATATTCAGAAAAAAAAGATGTCATACAAGAATTTTGTTTTTCTCGTGTCATTTGATGGAGATAGATGAATATAGTTACTGTCAAATATGTTATAATAAGATCTAAAAGATCTTTTTATTATAGACAATTCGCAAGAGAATGTTGAATTGTGAAAATGAGAAATATGAATTCTTTTTTATTTTTTATTTTTTATTTTTATAGATTCTATTTCCTTTATATAAAAGCTCGAGAATTTTTTTCTTTATATTCACTACGGATGTCATTGCTTCTTGTTATAGATTACAATTGTCTACCGACAATATTTATTCATTGATAAAGATTTCTTTTTGTTTTTTTTTTGTTTGACAATAAGATAACAATGTTAAATAATTATTTTTTAGGATTGGCAGTCAGTTTACCTCTACGATCATTTGGTATAGGAACTTTTAAAGCATTTTGGTTTGTTTCAAATGTCTTTTTGTATTGATATCTATATATATAATCAACATTGTTAAAATAGGTATGGTCAATTAAGTGGCTTAGTTGAAATAGTAGCTGGACTTCTTGGTGTTTACTTTGTGCAATTAGCTAATTGTCTACTACCATTTGCACTTTCATTTGCAGCTGGTGCAATGCTTTTTGTTGTTTTTAACGAAATTATACCAAATATAACTCCGTAAGTTAGATTTTCTATTTCGCTTTAAAAAATAACTGAAAATTTCTTTATATATATATATATATATAAAAGTCAACATCGAACTATATCATCTTGGTGCGTCATGGGTATGTATATTAAGACGGGAAGACTTCTAACATATTCTTAAATTTTGTCAGCTTCTATAACATACTTACAAATGCTTGAATATGAAAATAACTTTTAGATTAGGTCATATCTAAGAGGAGTTATCAAGTTCCAAAAAAAAAATCGAGATTTGCTGCTCATGTTATGTTAGCAAAAACAGTAATCTTCATTAAGTCTTCTACTTTTACAATTCCTTGCAGGAAAATTTTGTTCATGAAAACTTATTCACTAGATTCACTTCTATAGGATGATATATTTTTCTTTTAGAAAAAAAAAATGTCGTTCCTGTGAAGTTAAAAATTTCAACATATGTCTAACAGTGAAGTTCCACATATTATGCAAAGCAGACGTTTTATGAAACATTATATTATACGCTTTAGCATGATTAGATTTCAATGAAAATTTGCATGTACGTGTGACTACTTATTAAGCATATTATCACCAATTTCTAAAATAGTTGAAGAAATATAAAAGAATTACTGAATATGGTAGTTTTACTTTTTGAATGAACACATAAAAATCAATGGAAATATCTAAATTTCTTACTTATATATATTTTTGTGATAAAAAAAAAATGATCTGTTAAAACTTTATAAAGAAGAATAAATTTTTTAAGAGTGCAATTTACATTTTTTTTCCTGCAGTTTTTATATGCTTTGCTTCAAAAATAGAATTACCATATTCAGTATTTCTTCAATAGAGCTTGCAAATATCTTGTAATTTGGTGATAACATCTGTAATAGTTAGTCATACGTATATGCAAATTTTCATTGAAACTATTCATGTTGAAGCGTATAAATATAATGTTTCGCAAAAGCATCTGTTTTACATGGTATAATAAGTTTTACCGTCTGCTATGCCTTGAAACATCTAACTTCATGAGAACAATATTTTTTTTTTCTAGAAAGAAATATATGGCATCTCATAGAAGCGAATCAAGTAAATAAATTTTTATGAATAGAATATTTCCCCATGGTATTGTTATGAGGGTAGAGGATCTAATAAGAATTATTATTTCCGCTGACATCAAATATCGATTTTTTTCGAACTTGATAACTCCTATTAGATATATAGCCTAATTCAAAAAATATTTTCATATTCAAATATTTTTAGGTATCCTATAGAAGTTGACAAAGGTTTTAGAGGTGTTTCTGCCTTCTCTCTTGCTTTATATAGTTAATTAGTGTGCGCAAAAAAAAAATTTTCCTTTAGGTGGATTTACGATAATGATGATATTAGATGTTCTATTTGGTTGAAGAAATATTTTTGTCTTTCATATTTTCGTTTATCTCATTTATATGAATCTCTTGTTTTTTTGTTTCTTTTGTGATTATATTAATTTTGATTATCTGTTTGTTTGATGGCGTTTGTGAACAAATTTATGTTATGAAATATTTATAAAATGTAATCATTGATTTTGCTTCCAGAATAATAATTATGAAAAATATCAAATTTTTATTTCAATTATTAAAATATTCCGATATTATTATAATAACAACATAAAAACATTTATATGGATTTTGAGTAACTATGTTTTTTTGTTTTTTCTATTATAACACACTTGAAGGACGTGATATTGATTATTATATACGTAATTAAAGCACAGTCGGAAAACAAATTTAAAATTTCTCGATAATGATAAAGTCGTAAACATTATTTTATTAGATTTTAATTGTTATGATTAAAAGTACATGTTTTTAATAATAAATCAGTATATCAGATTTTGTTTTAGATATATTTTAATTAAAATCTATACAAAAAAAAAATGAGTATTACACATTGTATATTCGATTTGGATGGTCTATTATTAGATACAGAATCAATATATACTGAATGTTTACAAAAATTATGTGCACCATATGGAAAGAATTTTAGTACAGAAACAAAAGTTCACATGATGGGAAAATCATCATTAGAAGTAGGACAAATTTTAATACGTATGTATTAGAATTTTTTTTGTTTTGAAAAATTAAATATATTTGTTTTCTATTTCTTAGGAGAATTAGATTTACCGATGACTGATGATGAATTTTTAATGAAATCATATGAATTTTATCAAGAAGCATTTCCATCAGCTGAACTTTTACCTGGAGCTGAACGTCTTATTCAACATTTAGCAGCTCATAATATTCCAATAGGTAAAAAATAAACCGAAAAAAAATTTTTTTTTTAAACCAAATTCTTTTCTAGCAATTGGTACTGGTTCTTCATATGAATTATATATGTTAAAAACAAGTGGTCATCGTGAATTGTTTAATTTATTCGATCCAGTTGTTTGTACGGATGCAACTGAAATACGTTTAACAAAACCTGAACCAGATGTATTTTTAGCGTGTGCAGAAAAATTTCCTAATCCACCATTATCTATGAGTCAATGTTTAGTATTTGAAGATGGAGAAAATGGTGTACAAGCTGCACTTGCTGCTGGAATGAAAGTTATACTTGTACCAAGTTTACCATTAAGTACTTATGATCCATTGGTTATTGAACATACTACACTTACATTGGAGAGTCTTCTTAAATTTAATCCAGTCGAATTCGGTTTGCCATCATTTGATGATATGTAAAATTATACATTTATGTATGTACTTTTTATTTTTCGTTATATATTTTACTGGCTTTATTTGTATTGTCTCGTCGTATTTAGTTTGTCAGATGTAATGCTATATGAAAACAAGTCAATGCAGTATTGTATTCATTTTAATCAATTGCTTTCATTTTGTTTTGTATTTTGATGTCTAATTACAAATAAATTTTTTATGATTAAATATTAAAATTAATAGTCTGAATGATAATTAGAAAAATTTTATTTCAGAACAATTGCGTATGTACAGTCTTTTAATTGAAAATAAAGAAATACAAAATCATATTAAATAATTATCGTATTGATGGTTGACACATAATGTTAGCAAATGAGTGTAGATCCATGTGATAACTACCGTTGGCTTTTCTTTTGAAAGTGTTGTATCATAATGTCTTGCAGAGATGGTGATGGTGTCGCGTCGACAGCAGCTTTTTCAGGAAGAAATTTCAAAAATATATGAACTTGCACAGAATCTCGGTGTTCATATATGTGATATTGTAAGACATAGCAAGTCTGATCGAGTAGCAGCAGCAGTTCTAGTTCAAATCAGTCACGACCTTGAAAATCGAAACATTTTTTTGAATACTCTCGCCGTAGCGGCAAGTTTTTTTAAATATTGTGTTGCGTCGCGGCAGCGGCAAATTCTCAACCGCGATAGACATCTATAGTATAGTGTATCAAAATAGGTGAATATTTTTGAAGTCTATTAAAATTAACAGAACTGAGTTGTCTTCATTGAGCTGAGACAATGTTGATTCACCTGAGCCGTCTATACTAATCACAGAGCCCAAATCGAACATTCATGTATGAAATAAATTTTTATTGTAGATGGTGCTGCAAAAATTTTTTATTTGTAAAATATATTTTGAAATTGCTTTTTCTCGATAGATTTGAGGTATGTCTAATAAATAATTTGACTTTGGATGAAAAACACTTTCTGCAATACTTTGTAGTTGGAATTGCAAGTCGTAAGCATCACCACCACCTATTGTTATAAGTACTGTAGTACACCAGTAGTAATGCGAACAGATATATGACATGGGCAATCATTCATTTATTTAGTTGCTATGCTCAACTATTGTTTTTGTCAGGCAATAGAATATTAATGTAGCAACTGTTTACTTGTTTTTCATATTTTTTTGACCTATTTCTCACATTCTGTAAAACGATCTACTATAGATGTCTTTTGATACAATTATATTCTTCAAATATTGTAACTTTACTTTATTTTAATAATCTATTGAAAAACAATTCAATTGAGATATGACTACATAGCCTAGACCTCTCAGAAAACTAATGTTCTATTAAAAGATCAATAAAGTACAGCAATACTGTTCAAGTCAAACATATAATTGTTTTTATGAAATATTTTTCGAGCTTTTCTATAGCATAACATTGTGTTTTTTGAAAAAGTTATTTAAGAAGAAAACAAAGCTGTTTTTGATAAACCTATGACATCTTTTTTCTGGATGTTATTAAGTTGAAATTGGTTTCCTTGTTCTTCTTCTTATTTTTTCTTCATTTTAGCGTTTCGTCGTATGAGAAAAAAAAATTATCATCAAATTAGAAGTTTTTTCAAATGTTTGATTGAAACAAAAGAAAAAAAAGTGACAAGTAAATGTGTGCGTGTGTTACGAAGACATAAAATTAATTGAACTACGTCATAAAAATTTAAAATATAAAAAAGAAAAATGCTCATACTACAATAAATGATTGTATGTCGTCAAGTTTTTCCATTTCCTTATTTTTAATTTATATTTAAAAAATGAGAGTAACAGAAAAGAAAAAAAATATTTTCCTGTTATAATTTTGTTTGAATTTTATTTCACAGTCATTTAAGGTGGGTAGTCTATTGCAAGTAAGATGGAATTGCGATTCAAACAGTTGGATTCGTTAATGATAATTGTATTCATTTTTACAGTTAGTACAAGTAAGTCATTAAACGATTAATAATAAATAACGGATGTTTCATATTAAATGGCTCATTGTTGTTTTCTATCTTTGAAGTACTTAACAATTATTTTAGAAGAATGCTTCCTACCTTTCTGCTACCTCTCAATATGGAATGCTGCCTAATGGCAGATTCAATAGTCCGATATCCTTCCTACAACTATGACTAGCCGTAGCTCAGTACAAAAGACCAGCACGATGCACAGCTAGTGACTTGTTCAGGAGCATTACAAGACTGATGGTGCTGAGGTTTGCACACAGTACCTTGTAGATATGTGTTAAACAGCGTAGCTAATCAGCCATGATGGCTACTGTTTTAGATTCTAGCACTGATCTTATTAGATAGTGAATTTTATTTGTCTTTCGAATAGATTTTTCATATCGATGTAAACTTCTATTGAGTATGCCAAGCTGCAATTTTCTATTTTTCTGAAGATAGAAAAAAAAGATTTGTGTGAGTATGAAGTTTCGAATCGAGATACTATGGTCTATCTACTTGGTTATCGGGAATCACCAAAGGCCTAACATACTAGGTAATACAAGTATATATTTATATACACATTTAAATAATTATGATCATTTTTCTAATTAAATAAAGTTTCCATGAGCAAAACCGTTATGTCAATGTAATTTTCCTTAGAAGAAGATTAATATCCACTCAATGAATTAATACCGAGGATACTAGTTGATATGTGTCTACGATTAAGGGTGAATTTATAGACAACTTTTAAACAATATAATATGAAACATAATGAAGTCTGTACAAATTCTCTACTAGAAAAACCCCATAGGCTCGATTAATATATTCATTGAATTCTCATCAAAGAAAAATAAAATCTGTTTACAACAAACAACAGTAAATACTTTCATCAGAAGTACATAGAACGATTTATTTTCCTTCCAAGTAATTGTTCATTATTAAATGAAAACTTAAATTTTCTAAACAAACTATTGTCACATCTGAATAATGTAAAGATTTGATCCTCATTATCTTATTCTATTTTATATGTGACAATCATCTTAACCTCTCCCTTTCGCTCCGTCAGAGAACTATTTTTGTCCTAGAACAGTCGATTTGACGGAAGATTCCAGAGAATGTTTGTCCAAGCATTAACAGTTTATGATAAAAACTTCAGCCGAAAATATTGATCTGTTCGAGAGCTATAAAAATCTAGGTTTCCGTGTGGCAAGGGTTTCTTCTTCAAGTCTAATGATACAGATTTCAGGTTGGCTTTTAAGTGCAGTCAAGACCTGCCGCTACAACTCAACAGTCTAATATTTCAAAATATCGTTTTTTTACTTCTGACGAAATTTTCTGTCAAAAAATTCGAAAAATCAGGATGCTTCTACCGAAAAACATATATATTTTTTTTCAAAAAATAAGTCGAAAATGAAAATTAAATTGCAGAACTTCATTTTCTCTACAATCTAAACCCTTCCCAGACTTTCTAGCATGTAAAACGGTAGAGAAATTTTTGACACAAGAACAGAAAAACACGCAATAAAACTTGACCTAGGTACCCAAGTTTCTTTCTTAATAAAACGGTATAGAAAACAAACCGTCAAAAAAAAACCATAATAAATCCGGTAAATCATATTAGATATTGACGATTATCCAATCCCATCAAAATCGAAATTTTTAACGAAAATCATGATTTCCGATAAGAAATGGATCTTGACATATTTCATTTTTTAAATTTTATTTAAGTTATTCCATTAACATATGCAGCTAATGCTAATGTTATTATTGATTATATCAAAGTTGGTGGTTGTAATTCAACAATTGTAGCTCGAGTTGGTAAGTATTATCAAACCATAATTTCTTTATTAAATATAATTTTATATACAGGTGATTATTGTGATCATATTGTGACAATAACAATTGTAGGATCGAATAGTTCAAGTCCTTCAACTGATCTTAGTGTGGAAATCATCCTACTTGATAATACTACTTCTGTTATGCAAATGTCAAAACCTAGTATAACATATGTCGGTAGAAATTTTCTTAATTCAGGAAATCTTTATCAACCAACAATTACGATGATATCACAACTGACTACGTCTCAAGTATAAATACAAAAAAAAAAAAAACATTTCTTTTTTGCACAACAAATATTAATCATTACATATATACTTTAGTTTGATAATGCTCGTATTAATTTTGGAACAGTTGTAAATAGTGGTCTGGTTGCGCCATATAATGATACAGAAAGTACAATTACAATTTCTTTTCGTAGTCTTGTTATTAGTAATCCTAGTTATCAAATCAATGGAGCTGAATATGTAAATGAAATAAAATCTCAATTTTTACCTTTTTAATTAAATATTTGTTTCTTTTTCTCTAGTGGGTAACTGTTGGTATTGAATATAATAATGTTTCAGAAATATGGATTGGTCAATCATTATTCAATTTTTCTAATGCTGCGAATGTTCGTACAAAAAAAAGTTTTTTTGTTTTTTTCAAACATTTATAATTCTTTATTTATTTCATTTAGAGTGGATCAGGTCCTTTTACAATTAGTACTATCAGTAATTCAAGTTTACAAATTCCTCAAGGTTCACCATTTGCATTATCAATTCCAATTAATTATAATAATACATATGCATCAAATTTTGTTTTTACAATTACAAATAATAATCCATCACAATTAGGACTTTGTTCAGCATATGTTCAAGTAAATAATTTATATATATATATAATGGATTATCGAGAAAGATCATTTGACAATATGTACAGAGTTTTCAAAAAGTTAGCTGTAAAAATACAACTGTAGTAACTCTTCAATAATTTACCTGAGGTTTTCATCATTTCATCATAGAATGTTCTTGGAAGTTTTATTTCATATGATTTCACTCTGTACATTCATTTTACACTCTCTCTTAATCGAAACTGTAGAAATTTGAAAACATTGAAGTTGAATCAGAATCCGAAAACTGAAGTTTTTTTTCTTTGTCTAAAATTAAAGATGAGATTGTTTCCTATAAAAATGATATAAGAAACAAGAGTTTCAGAACAATCATTCAGGAATTGCCAAGCTCACTTTAAATAACTTGAAGCATACTAATCATTTTTATAGAGAAATGTTTTGTTCTTTGATTCAATGTATTTGAAATAATTTTTGCTTCTACTTCGGATAAGTTTTAGCGTGCTGAAATTGTTCGAAAAGGTTGGCTCATACGTTTTAAATCAGAAATCTGACAAAACTCTTCAGATCATATTCAAAATAAACACAAACTTCTGATTCTAACATAATATTTTCAAATTTCTGCAGACTCCTTTAAGAGCTTGAAAAAGTGAACAAACATTTTTGTCAAATAAACTTTCTGATAACTTGTAAATATGAATTATACATTATTTTTTATATGTTAATATAGAGTGCATCTTCTGGTTTTGCACATTTACCAACGTTAGGTTATGAAATATCACAAATTTTGACAACTTCATCAACTAATAATCAAATTTCAATTAGTCTTGGTCAAATTGTTAATACGCGTATATTATTATTTCTCTAGTTTCAAAATTTATTACATTATGTTTTTTTTTCTTCTGTCCTATTAACAGAATCTTATAGTGGTACATCATCAACACTTTATATAGTTGTTTATGGACGTATATTTAAAACTGACAGTAGTAGTTCATATATAGCTGGTACAATGACTGCTCAAGTAAGCACAACAGCAAATCCAACAGTGACACAAACTTTTACCATCTATGCAATACCAACCGTTATAGCTTATCCTTTAGTAAGTAAATTTTTTTGTTTAAAATAAAAATAATTTTATAAAATATAGAATGGTTCATTACCAACATTATCTCTTTCACAACAAACAAATGTTGTTGGCATTTATCAAACATTACAACTCACAGTAACAATAGTTCTCCCTGCTAGTTTTTCTGCACCAGTTGTTATTGATTTACATAATTCATTAAACGCATCAATATTAAATTTAAAACCATGTACAGTTATATTTCAATCAGCTGGTGAAAATGTTGGTAGTTCAAATCCTCAATGTGTTGATCAAAATTTATCAAGATTTACTTATACATCAAGTACAAATTCAACTATTTATGATCAATTATCATATGATTATGGTGTCATGTCAAATATGGATACACGTTCAACAATTTATTCTTCTACAGTTAATACAATTGTGTAAGTAAAATCATAAATCAATAATAGTTTTAATCTTTTTTTGTTTTTGAATTTTTATTATATAATTAGTTTTAATGCAATTTTTCAAGTATTAAATACAACAGCAAGTATTGTTTGGCCAACTATTATTGTTACATTTGGAAATAATACAATCTGGATTGGTAATGCAAATATCAATGTCACAACAATAAATTATAATATAACAGTAAGAAAGAAAAATAACAAAAAAAAAAAAAAAAAGAATTTCTTTATGAAATAAATTTATTTTATTTAAATTTTAAGAATGCAACTCAACCAACTTTTGCATTATCATATGAAAATAATACTACAACTAATCAATCAACTACAATTTTAGGATATACACGTTTATTTTATTATGATATATTTACAAAACCAACTGGTATTTATACACCAATGATATTAAGAATAAAAACAAATGAAACATCATTTGGTAGTGGAATACCAGCTGCAAGTATTTGTCGTGTAAAAATTTTATATGTTGGATCAAATCTTCCATGTCTAATGCAAACACTTTATAATCAAGATAATTCACCATTTATTACTTATTCATCAAGGTTTATTTTTTATTTTTTGTTTTTATTAATTAATTGATTTAATAGAACAAAATGATTTTTTTGTTTATAGATATAATCAACGTAAAAATGATACTGTTTACATACAATTTGGTCCATTATGTAATTATCAAACAACACAAAATAATGTTAATCTTGGTCAAATTCGTGTTGGTAAGAAAATGAAAATTTTCATATAGAAAAATAATTTCTATGAAATTCTATATAGGTGTTTATGTCAAAATTGAATCATCATTAGGTGATGGACAGAGTACTTATGTCAATCTAGATGTTTATTATACATCATCAAATCTTTGGATTGGACAAATACTTTTTACAGGATATCAAACAGTTAGTCCACCAAATGTTATAGTAAGAAATAGTTCTTTTTTGAATATTAATCAAAGACAAATTAATTTTGTTTTTGTTTTTTTTTGTAAGGGAACACCTTTAATATTTCCACTTAATTCAACAACACAATTATTTAATAGAAATTCATTAACAATTGTTAATTATGGTTTAAAAGTTCCAGTTGCTTCAATTGGAACTTATTCATCATTGAATAGTGCTAGTAAGAATATTAAAGAATTTATTATTATTATTTTTTTTTTGTTTTATTTCTCTTTATTATATAGTTATTAATGAAGTTAATCAACAAACAAGTGTATGTCGTATTGATATATCACTAAATCGTGGTAGTAATGTTCCATGTTCAAATGATGTATCATCTGTATTTACTTATAATTCAAATGGATATTCTTCAATAGCAACAACAAATCTTGGAATAATTTGCAGTATAGCTTGTAAGTATTATGATATATATTTTTGTAAAATATGATTTGAAACGAATGTTGAAATATAAGTGTAGAAATTTGGATCTTTCTTCTATTACAGCCTGTGATAGACGTACGAGGGTATCTCTTCAGATGTCTCCTTCTGATTTCAATGATTGTTTTCTGTGCCTATAGATATTACATAGTGTTCTTATTTATTATTGTTTTATTTAATATTAGCAAATTCTTCGACATTGAATTCATCATTATCAATTGATTCTGATACATTGATTATTCAAGTTTTTCTTCTTGCTACGTTACAAACAAGTTCAACATTTGATTTAACTCTATCAAATTTAATACCATCTGGTCAAGCAGCATTAGGAACATTAACATCAACATTTAATAGTGGTTTAACAAGTAACTTTGGAAATGTAAATAAAAGTTTTAAGTTTGAATTTACTGTAAAAAAAAAAAGAAGAAAATCTATTGATTGAAATTGAATTTGTATTGAACATTATATATTAGAGAATCGGTCGAGTAAGACTACTAACTAATCTCTATTAATCGTTGTTAGGCGAGTACACTTCTTTGTAAATAGTCTTTCATCATTGAGTGTTTTAAAGCAAAATCTAATGTATAATGTTAGACAAAAACAAAATCGCTTTATTCTACGAAACTATTTGATTTAATCAATTAATGTTAGTACGAGATTGCATTACTTTCGATATATTTTTATGTAGATATCGTCGATAAATCCATTAAATGTAACAAATTATAAACAATTAAATGATACGAATAATAATTCATTAGTTTATCTTGGTCAAGATGTATTAATACGTACACAATTTATACTTGCTTATAATTTAAGCAGTCAATCGTGTTATCCATTATCATTTGTATTCAGTTTTACATCATCAAATATTGATGCAGCTTATTTTACTAATGCATTTTTTATTAGTGCTGGTGACAATTTAATGTGTATGCAAGCGAAAGCAATACCAATTCTTAGCAGGTAATTTAGAATTTAATCAAATTTTTTGTAAAACACGCAGTGTTGAAGTGTAGCGGTAGAAATTTGGCTTCCCCCTCCTCCCTTACGGGTATCTTAACAATGAATCATCCCAAGCGTGACGGACATTGTTGATATATAAAATATATGAAGTACTTCCTTATTACATTTCTCGAGGATTAAGTAAAAGGATTGTGAAGAAATGTTTCCCAAAAAATAGATAGAATAAAACCATCTTCCTATGATTAGCAACAATAACTACATCATGTTTCATATTTCAATCCCGTTAGGATTGCACTAACAGCTTTTTCTATATAAAAAAAAAATTTATCTTTCATAGTGGTGGTTCAACATTATATAATACTTCAATGTATCTCGATCTCGGTACAGTTTGTTATTATCCAATTGATCCTATGAATATATCAGCAAGCACAGTAAGTTTATATGGACAAATCTTTAAATATCGATAAGTATCTTTATTTTTTGTATTTTTCATTGACTTAGTTAATTATTCAAAGTAATGCTCGTGTACCAATGACAACAACAGTTCCAGTAGGTAATCCAATATCAATAGATATAGCAGCAATAATTAATAATAATCAATCAAGTTTAAATACAAGTATTTCATTAATTGTAAAAAATCATACAACTTATTCCGGTTTTACATTATTTGTAAGTTTTTCGTTGTTTTTTTTTTTGAAATTTTCTTATTTTTATTTAAATAAATCTTTTAGTCAAATGATACAACAAATGTACTTACTACGACAACAAATTCAACCATACAAAGTAGTATACGTCAAATAGTGACATATACATTTAAAATATATTTACCAACATATTCTCAAGGACGTTTACAAATCTTTATAGCTAGTACACAAATGTCAAATAGTGTTACAATTAATATAATTTCAGCTAAAATACTTTCAGCTGGTATTAATGTTGGATCATTTATGCAGGAATATATACTTGGAAATAAATATCAATGGATTTATTCATCAAGTGTATTAGGTTCAAGTTATCAAGATACAGCTTATCTTGATTTAGGTGTTGTAACAAATACAGGTATGAAAAAGAATGCTTATTATATTTTTATTTATTTATTTATTTAATTAATTAATTAATAGGAACATCGGCTATGAAAAATATATTTTCGAATACAACAGATAATTTTATTTTTATTCAAGCAAATGGATATTTAACAGATAGTCCATTAGCTGAAGAAAATTTTGCATTTAACGTTGTTTTAACTGCAATTTATGGAGGAATTAATGTTTCAAATTCATTTTCAAATGTTGTCACTAGAGATGGAACTGAACAACCAATTATGTTTGTTAATCATACTGATATTACTAGTGGAATTTATGGAATAGGGTATGAAGAAATATATATTTAGAAATATTTTCGAGTTCTTATGATTTTTTGCATCTAGATCAACATATACTGGTATAATTCAATATGGTCATGAAAATAATTCTAATGCTGAATGTATTAATGCTCAAATCATAATTTATTTACCAACATGGATATCATTTCAAAGTTATAATTCAACAACTCCTGCAGTAAATTATACAACTGATTATAATTCATATGTTCTATTTAATGTAAATAAAATTTATTTATTTTTCTTTTCTTTTTTAAAACGTTTCTTTAATTAATAATGATTTATTTTCAGTTGGGCACACTTTTATTCAATGATGTTGGTTCATTAACATTTACTCTTAATATTGGTACATCAAATCAGATGGCTTTAGTTTATCAAAGATATAATTCACCAAGTATTACAATACCTTATGAATTAATTTGTATGAAACGTGCACGGTAAATCGACTATGAATATATGAATTCACAAATGAATGTTGTTTTGTTTTTTTGTAAAGAACCAATGTAGCATATTATCCTGCATCAAAAAGATTTGCTTTTACTGATATTATATCGTTATCAGCATCAGTAGTATCTGGTATTTTAAATACTTTGTTTTTTTAAAAATATTTCTTTGATTAATTGTATTTATATTAGCTTTAACTTATACAACTTTACTCGATACATTAGATTCTTGTCAATTTACAACAAGTGTTACTGGATCAGATGCATCATTAGTTCGAACAAGTAATATAAATCTTTATCAAAATGTTTTTTTTTTTATTAATATAAAAGAATAATTCGTTTTTTTTTTCTAATAGCTGGTTGGCAAACTGGCTATCGATCAAATCAATGGATGTTATCTGGTAGTACTTATGTACAAATTAATTTCGGTAATTTAATATTAATTAATCAAATACAATTAACTGTTCCATCATCATTTGCATCAATTCTTTTTATTCAACTTGGTTATAGTTTGGATGGATATAGTTTTGCTGTAGATTCAACAAAATATTTCATAAATGGTAATTCATCATATATATTTCCATTATCAAAATCATTATTAATTCAATATTTACGTGTTTATTTAATGGATGTTGTACAACCAAGTGATTTATTAATAAAAACATCAGGTTTTATTCTTAATATAACTGGTATAGTTAACTCAACGAATGTAACTGTTGCAAGTAAGATAATAATTAATATGCATTAAATTAATTTAAAACAAAAAAAAAAACATTAAATAATGTTCGTTTTTCAGATGTTTGCCCTAGTATATCAAATACACTTTCACCACGAACAGTACTTGTAGCACCTCCTGCACAAGCAGGTCTTGTTTATTCAAATGATGTTTATGTTTGTGATGAAACAATAACAAGGTAAAATGACAAAGAATTATTTTTTTTTTAATCTTAATTTTAATTTTGTATTTATATTATATAGAACATCGATTTTATGTCATGTACTTTTCAATGGTGATATGACAGCATCAGCTACATGGACTGGTAGGTAGTTTCTTTTTTTTTTCAATAGATTTGATTGATTCCATTTCTTTAGCTTTAAATACAACTGTGGCAAATATTAATTTATTTGTATATGATACTATAGAACAAATACAATCTTTATATGGATATGCACAAGATGGTGTATCAATAGTACGTAGTGATGATCGTGGTCTAACATGGTTTGTAACTGATTTTGCTGAATATTCAAATGTAAAAATAGAATTATTGAGTTTAATAATGTTGAAAGAAAAAGCAACTTTTTTTTTGTCTTTTTTAAGATCACAACACAATGTAATGCAAATTTAAAAGTATGTACAATGAGTGAATCGTATCCATTAATGAATGGTTCACCAGGTTATTTACAAATGCAAAGTGGTATTGTATCATGGACAGCTTCAATAAATGGACTTTGGACACAACCATCAAGTGGAACTTTAGTATTTGATTGGTTTGGATATTGATTACAAAAAAATTGAAATTATTTATTTATGTTGTTTTGTGTTTCATTTTATTTTTATTCATTTATCTAACGATGATGTGAAATATTCTTTGTTAAAAGATCTTTTTTTTTTCTTCAATTAATAAAAATAGATGTGTTGTTGTGTATATCTTATATGTCATAAAAGAAGTTCATTATGAGAACAAAAGTTTTGTGATATGTAGAAGAGTAAAATATGAGAAATTTTGATCCTGATTGAGTTTATGAACTAATTATTGCACTACGTGAAGTTAGGTGAAAATCAAATGGTGCTAATCATTTTATCTTGGTTAACAGCCATAAGGAAAGAAGTGTAACAAGAATGAGATAGTTCTTTTCTTAATTTCGACATGTTATGTGACACTTACAATATATAATGTCTTTCTAAGATGAAGCAGTTTTTGTGCTATTGAACTCTATATGAATAATAGTTACAGATTTATGTGTTCGATGACATTGTACTAACTGGAAATACACAGAACCAAGTTGTTTTTAGTCTCGCTTAGAAAAAAACTATTCGAGAATTTATTCGCATGAAATCTGAAAAAGTTTTAAAAATGCTTATGTTTTGATTAATTTAGCCAATGAATGTCACTTTTTTTTGGTCATCTTTTATGAATTTTGCTTTAATTGATGTAATTCATAACATAATTCGGTAAAAGTTCTGGAAAGGACAGAAATCGCTAAGAAGCAAAATCGGGTTCTGCATTAAATTAAATTTATTTTGTCATTTTGATAGTCAGAAGTCTTTAATTAAGAATATCAAACGTTTGAATGCATTCTATACTGTATACCAAATGAATGAGCTCACTCAGATTTATCTATATATTATTTGTGAATATGGATATGACTGAGGATGTGAAGCTTCTTTAACGCATCCAATCAGCAACCACTACCTACCCTTCATTCGATCAGCCATAGTAAAAGATTAAAAATTATAAAATATTTCTCTCTATTGAGCCTTAGTTCTTGACGTGTCGACTTGTTACTGAATCTTTCGGGAAGATGTAATACTGTAGTTCATAGGCAACACCGAAATGTTGCTTTTTCGCTCTATTATTTGTATAAAATAAAAATACCAAATTGGAGGATGGGTGTGGATAGGTGACGATTATTTCTTCACTGATTGTCACTCTAATTGAGTGTCACGATGAATCTGGCTGAAGTCAAGACCTCCACCCACACTCGCATGTACTCACCCATATAAACCTATACGTAGTCATCATCCAACTATTTTTAAGAGACTGGAACACGGCTTTCGAGCTTTTTCTGACGCCACTGTTTTCGGAGATTCGTCGAAGAGAATTTTTCTTCTGTTAAAACTACTTATTTGATTGTATTAAAAAATGTAGCTTGTGTTTGTCACAGAGAACGACGTTGTTTCGACTTCTGTTCACCACTCATAGCTCACTCAATAAAAGAAAGCCATCCGAATGTTGTGAAAAAGAAAAAAGAAAGAGTTCTTCCCCGCCTACAGCATTTACTTTATATTTCTTTTTTTTCTTTTTTATTGACTGCGACATATACATGTGCGAGATATGCTTGAACCAGAGGAAAATGGATCGAGTTCCGTTTCGAATGAATTATTCTAGTTTCTTGATGTTGTTTCTTCTTTAGAACTTCCCATGACACAATATATTCAAGAGAAAAATGTGACCTGCTCAAGAACAGCGGAGTTTATCTAACAAAAAATGCCGATCTTCGAGGGATGTGTCCATCAAGTTGAACGATTTGCGGTCGAATTTTTCCGGATCGACCAGTAATGATCGCAAGAGTTTGATGATTTTTTGAACCAAAACGTGTTCGACCAGTCGATCAAATGAACCAGAAAAGTTTCAAGAACAAAACTGCTTTCAAGAAAGTCTTTTCTATGAACATTGATAGTATACATCGAGTCTTCGGCAAAGTAGAGTGTACGTTTCTAATCTTTTCTAAAGAACTATATCTCGGGGAATATTATGAACGCATTGTTCTGAAGGATTAATCAAAGTCACATATGAAGAACCAGCCGATTGACAGTTGCGAGTGTGAATCTATTTGGTGTACGCATGGTTGCGTCACTATCGGTGTATTGGTACGTTAGATGTTGACGTCGAATTTGATGTTCGCATGGACGTGTGAGTTTCGCGTGGCTGTTGATCTTCTGTCCACTTATCCCACCCACTCGTAATAAGGAAAGATGTCCAAGAAGAAAAGGCCTGTATTTGAATAGTCCGAAGCAACTTACAGGCAAAAGAGTCTCAAGTACGATCAACAAAATCTAAAAATTTGTAATTGGGTAGATCTGTAGTAAAGATATTTGAACTGGCACATCGCTAAGATGAACAGCACTGTCCTTTGGAAAATTCTTTACATACATTGGTCGCTCATTAATGTTGGTGTCAACAAATAATTCATTTTGAGCTAACAGAAAGTTAAATCAAAATAATTATGCATTTTCTACGTATAATAAATCATGTACTACTTTTTCTATAAGACTTTAGCAAAAAAATTTAGTTTTTTCAAAACAACTATCGAATTCTCTTTGTTGCTGAGTATAAGAAATCATAAAAAATGCTTTTCTTCTAATAATGAATATGTTAGGATGATTCATCTACTCCAGAGTTCGTCTTTCGTAATCTGCATGTCACCAAACACGTGAAACTGAGAGCAATGTGCTGATTGGTTTCTTTTCAACAAACATATGTAATTACACAACCAAAACACTCGTATGCTATAGTACAACTGAAGAGTCTTTCATTTAAGCAAAGCACATGACAGTAAGAACTACTAAACAAACCCCATCCCTTTGCACACTACCCATTGAGGTAATCTATTGTATTTTTGACAAAATAGATGCAAAAACAATTCTTCTATCACTACGAGGCGTTTGTACACAACTCTATGCTCTCGCAAACATCTACGATCA